TCTTTTGTGTTGCCGGGGATTCTTGGAAGTTGTAGAAACTTGGTATTCGATCTGTTTGATCTTCCAGTTAATCCATTAACTTCGACTCGCGAGAAATTCTATTCTGGTCGTGGACGATGCTTCTTATGCAGCTTACTTTCTTGCTAAATTGCAACTGCACCCCGGTAGCTTGTAACTTTCCTGGTCTTTATGTTAATCAACGGTGATTATGCAAAGGATATAACTACGATAACAACGTCCAGACGCGAAATGCTTCTCGTTAATGGCCGCGTCTATCTTTTGACGTGCGAGGGTAACGAGCGACCGAATCCTGCGTCCTTTCCAGATTTTTCACCGTTTCTTTCTTTTTTTTTGTTATTAATATCGTCGATATTTCCAGTCTCGGGCAGACGCTAACAATCCATATCCACCCTTCTGTCTCGTTACGTCAATTAACTCGTCGCTGGATCCTGCCTCCTTTCCAAACGCGGCGAGTGGCATTAATTTGAAACATCGAACGAAAATACGAACGACTGTCTGCTTCGGATCATTCTCCTTTCCATTCTTCTTCACCCTCGTTCGTCGCCGACGCGCGACCCTGCGGTTTCAAATTTACTCGCATAGTTACCGGTATTGCTGTCAACGATGCGCACAAAAGAGAATTTTTCCACATTTTTCTCTTTTTTCCTTTCTGCCGCGGGAAAATCGAGAAAGGTACAAAAATTGCGACAGTTTCTATCGAAAATACACTGTCCTGTTATATTGCTGAGAGGAGACGGGGCAGGCTTGGAGTACATGAGAGTAATAAGTGAAAAAAGAGAGATGAAGGAGAAAGAGACTGGAACCTAATTCACAGTCAAATCCAAAGAGATTCCCATAAATTAGGCGCTGTTATTTGAAGGCATAGTGCAATAATCCGCATTATAATTTAATTTAAGTCTAAATCTAAGTTAACTGGAATAAAAACAGAAATGAAGATGTGAGTAGTGTAAGAGACAAAATAGCAATACATGTGAGGTGAGTGAGGAACGTCGTTACCCTGTTTTCACCTCAATTTATTAAAGTACAAATTTATGGTCGTACGGGCGTGCAATTGGCCCAGGAAATACAATCGTTTATTTCGTTAATTGTCCCTGCGGCAGCGGTTCGGCGGGTACGTCGCGATGGTCGGTAAAGGAGAAACTGTCCCGAGGTGTAGGCGTACTCGGTTTTTATATTGT